ATCTGAAGACTTAAGTAAAAAGGTTGAAACACGCGTTTGGAGAAAGAACAACTAGAAAGAACGACCCCGTCCATTAAGCCCGTTCCACATGGAACGACATCGTTCATGCTTCTAGAATCTTGACTCAAGTTTTTTATCAGAGAATGAATGTCCGTTCCACGTGGTAGAGTGCCTGTTCAGTCAAAATCAAGATTTAGAGTTAGAAGTTGTGAGCTCAAATCAAGTTTTAGAATTCAAGTGTCAGTCTTGAACAACCTCGACGAACACCCTTCAAGAAATATTGAAGATCGTTCCATGAAGGAATGACATTGTTTCAGGAAGTCATTCATGGTTCTGGACATTTTTGGACCTTGAAGAACCAAAGTTGAACGACCGTTCCAGATAAGGGACACTCGTTTGCATTAGGGGAGCGTCACATTCAATAAAGGAAACGACCATTCCAAGATCTTGAAGTCAACGAAAAAAGTGTCTTTTGGTATTAAGAACGATCGTTCTCAATGATAGGTAGGGTCGGGGCTACGCCTGACCCCATTCCTACCCTGTACCCAAGTTCGAGGAATATCCTATTCTCCATCCCCGACTCATTCGGGGTAAGACCTTGACAGGTCAAGTAAAATACCCATCTCTAGAATTAGAAAAATAACCATCTTACTTTCAAATTTATTTCAATAACATCATATTTTTCAACCTTCATATCATCTATATCTCTAACCACCTAGCCATTGACACTACCACCCAGTCTTTGTTGCTAGTTTTCTCACCCAAACTTATGGAAATCATCACCGTAAGCCCAATTCTTTTGCCCCCTAGCCTGATCGACCAATATCTTGGTTGGATTTGGCCAGTTTTTCCACGAATTTCCACGATCGCGCAATCCACAACTCAAGCCCGATTTGGGTTGTTCCCATCGCTGTGGCCTTCCCTGACCCCACCATCGACATCCCCACCCTCCATCGACCAAAATCCCTAAGGTTCCCACTTGTCCCCTCCCATCGGTCGCCAGCTGCCATTACATTAGGGTTTTAGATTTGTTAGCCAAATTCCAGTTGATTCCATCAGCCAAAACTCCCCCCAACACCACCCTTGGCACCACTGACGCCTCTTCTTCAAAACTCCCATAACCCCACGTCCTGGCACCTCGTCGATCTGTGTCCGCAACAGCACTGCTTGTCGTTGCATTTGGTTGTTTTTCTTAGTTGTGTTGGCTTCGATTTGACTGAATTTTGGTTTGATTTGGATTTTTGAATGATTGGCTTCGATCGCACCTCGTGTTGTCGCGGCTAATCACGCAATTGAGGAGTTACGGGAGCCAACCAGGCCGCGGTGGCCAACGACTGTGAAAGAGTTTTTGTGTTTTGAATGTGGGTTTGTTTGGGTTTAGAAATGACCATTTTATCCTTTGACCATTACGTAAAATAACTTTCTGTTATTTAAGCGTGGGAACCTAGAATATATGAAACCAGGGATGAAAACTAGCCATTTCGCTAATCTTTGGGTAGGAATATATCATTTGCTCTTCTTAAAACATGTAATTTATAATTACATTTAGAATATGCTATTAATTAAGTACACTGCTTACCGTTTATGAGGTATGTTACATGACTGATGACTCTTTGTCTTACAATCGAAGATTCTTAATTTTACTTTTATTTTTTAAAACCATCTAACAAACTAGTGTAGACTATTACTGACATTATGGTCATCACATTCAAAATTAACTTTAACGAAGGTGTACATTGATGTTGATACAAAACTAACTTATATAATATACACCATCTAAAATCACTCCTCCATTTGAAAGAGAAGTGAAAACAGGGGGTTTTTGTTTTAAGAGCTTCCACCTTCCAGTTTGCCGTCAGAGTTTAATGAATACAATTACCAGAGTGAGCTTATAAGGTTACGTTTCTGTAAAGTATATAGTCTAGGGGTGAGCGGTTCCGGGTATCCTGTATTTTCCGAGGGAACCAGAACCGGAGCCGCACAGTGCAAGTTCCCCAAAAAAAGGAACCAGAACTGGAACCGCACAGTGCAGGTTCTTAAATTCAAGGAACCGGAACCTAAAATGCAGGTTCCGGTTCCTTTCCCCGGTACCCTGTAAAAAATCAATCACCCCCCTATTAGTTTCAAAAATGACAAAAATACCTTACAAGTTTACAAATACACCCCTAACAAATTTTGATTACTCATTCATTTGTGTCCAATGTAACTCATAACCTGTAATCTCTAGGCAACACTTGGATTCAATCAATTCATCACAATTCACATAAAATTCGTTAATCAAAACCAAAACACAAACAATTATTCATCTGTAATTAATTAAATTTCTAATCATTTAATTAATATACTAATGTTTATAATAGAATGTTATAATTGATTAAGTAATCATACTATAAATATATAAGGTAATGTTATAATTAATTAATTTTTTAATCAGTTAATTAAGTAATGTAATAATGTAGTAAATTACTAATGTTTATAATGTAATGTTATAAATTTATAACTAATTATGTAATCATTTAACTATGTAATGCTATAATTAATTAAGTGATCATAATATAATATAATTTAATAATGTTATAATTTAATTAAGTAATTATTTAACTATAATGTAATGCTTAATTAATTAAATTTCTGATCATTTAATTAAGTAATAATTATTTATAATGTAATATTACAATTAATGTTTATAATATAATATCATAATCAATTAAATAATCATCTAATTATGTAATGTTATAACTAATTATGTAATCATACTATAAATCTTTAATATAATATTATAAATTTATAATTAATTTATTTATAATAGTATGTTATAATTAATTAAATGATCATTTAATTATAATGTAATGTTACAATGAATTAAGTAATCGTACTATAAATTTATAATGTAATGTTATAATTAATTAAATTTCTAATCATTTAATTAAGTATTGTGCTAATGTTTATGTAGTAAATTAGTAATTACTAATGTTTATAATATAATGTTATAATCAATTAAGTAATTATTTAATTATGTAATGTTATAATTAATTATGTGATTATAATGTAATGTTATAGTGAATTAAATAATCAGACTATAGATCTTTAATGTAATATTATAATTAATTAAATTTTTAATCATTTAATTAAGTAATGTAATAATGTAGTAAATTATTAATGTTTATAATGTAATGTTATAAATTTATAACTAATTAAGTAATCATTTAACTATGTAATACTATAATTAATTAAGTGATCATAATATAATGTAATGTAATAATTTAATAATTTAATTAAGTAATTATTTAACTATAATGTAATGTTTAATTAATTAAATTTCTAATCATTTGTTTGTAATGTAATGTTATAATTAATGTTTATAATATAATGTCATAATCAATTAAATAATCATCTAATTATGTAAAGTTATAATTAATTATGTAATCATACTATAATGAATTAAGTAATCATACTATAAATCTTTAATATAATATTATAATTAATTTGTTTATAATAGAATGTTATAATTAATTAAGTATTCATTTAATTATAATGTAATGTTACAATTAATTACGTAATCATACTATAAATTTATAATACAATGTTGTAATTAATTAAATTTCTAATCATTTAATTAAGTATTGTACTAATGTCTTAATGTTTATGTAGTAAATTAGTAATTACTAATATTTATAATATAATGTCATAATCAATTAAGTAATCATTTAATTATATAATATTATAATTAATTATGTAATCATACTATAATGTAATGTTATAGTGAATTAAGTAATCATACTATAAATTTTTAATGTAATATTATAATTAATTAATTTTTTAATCATTCAATTAAGTTTGTACTAATATTTATAATGAAATGTTATAATTGATTAAGTAATTATAATATAAATCTATGATGTAATGCTATAATTAATTAAATTTTTAATTATTTAATTAAGTAATATATTAAATGTTATAACTTATAAGTCAATTAATTAAGAAGTAGTCAATTAGTATAATGCTATAATTAATTATACTATAAATCAATTAAGTAATGTTATAAAATTATAATTAATTAAGTAATCATTTAATTATAATGTAATATTATAATTGATTAAGTATGATATTTAACTAGTAATTAAATTTATTAATGTTTATCAATTTATCATATATAATTAATTAATTGCTAATTTACTATAGATATACTTAGAACTTGATAATTGATAATTGAAGTAAATAATTAAATATATTATTATTCAATCAAATATACTATTTTATTCGAAAATAATTCTTTTAATAACATTAAAACACTTTTAATTGGATCATAATTCTAATTATTCACTTAATTAATCAAAACTTTAATATTAATATATTATAATATATTAAAGTTTTTAATATGGTGTAATTTATATATAATAAGTATAACTGTATATTTATTTAATTAGGTTATTCTAAAAATTTAACTTTTTTCTATTTTAAATTTTTTTATATGTAAAATAATAGAAACCCTTCATTATTCATATTTTCACTGCAGTTCAGGTTCAAAACAGGTTCCAAAAATCAGTTCTTTTTTCAGGTTCCGGTTCTGGTTCCTCCACACATAAGAATCGGAACCGAAACTGCACAGTGTCGATTCCAATAAAATGGAATCGGAACCTACCCGCACAGTGCCGGTTTCGGGTAAGTTTCAGTTCCGGTTCTGGTTCTACCCTCAGGTTCTGATTCTATCCGCTACCCGTGCTCACCCCTAGACTATATACTATATACCTTTCGGTTGCTGCATCCGAGGACAATCTCCATAACTTCCTTTTCTTTTTCTTTTTTTTTTTCTTTTTTTTGGGGGGAATAATTCAAATTATCAAACGCCTGGAGCTTGTCTAGAAAATGAGTTTGGTTCAGATAGCAGTTAAGATGAGGCCCAACATTTAATTTGCAATCTTGTATGTTCATAGAAATGACAACAAACGGTCAAAACCCAAGCAAATAAAATAGAAGTCCATAAACATAAAAGCCAATAAAAATGCTCCAAGAAAGTTGTAGAAAATAAACTATCATACCACAATAGTCTCAACCAAAGCAAAAAGAAAAGAAAGGCATGGCAATCACATCTAATCTCGCCAAATTCAATTCTCTGCATCTAAATCGTTCGCGCACTTTCTCTTCTACTTCTCTATCTTATATCTCCACGCACAATCCTGCTCTTGTGAACGCCAACAAGCAGTGTTCAATAACAAACCTGAGCATCAATGGCAGAAGAAACAACAGGTCCGTCTCGATTCAAGCCATGGCTTCTTCGTTCGGCTCTAGGCTTGAGGAGACTGTGAAAAAGACTGTCAATGAGAACCCAGTTGTTGTTTACTCTAAATCTTGGTGCTCGTGAGTTTCGATTTTCATCCATCTCAATTCCTACTTTTTTTTTTTTTTAATATTTTGTATGTGATTTGATAAAGATGTATTTGAAATGGGTTATTGGTAATTCTTGTTTTAAAGGTACTCAACTGAGGTGAAAACTTTGTTCAAGAGACTTGGCGTGGATCCATTGGTCATTGAATTGGACGAAATGGGTATGACTAAAGAATAATTATCAATTTGTTTTCAGTGCATTCTTTTTTGTTTATATTTTTTAAGCTGAATCAATAGTTACATGTCTCGAATTACCCACCTTTATGTTTCCAAATCCGGTAGTTGGTGCTGGTCTCACGGCAACGGCTCGTCCTTGATGTTAATTCATGTCATCTGATGCGCACCCAGTTGTTTTAGAGTGACAATCGTGATTTGCACTCAATTTCACATAGATTATCAAATTCTGAAACTATAACAAGAAAAACCATATTGCAGCTTATGAAAACCCTTTTTCCATTTGGCTGGATGGTGGAATCTTAATTAATTTCAATATTTTTTGTGTGTGTGTGTGTGTATATATATACTTCATTAGGTGGAAAATTAGCAGTTGCTCATCAGAATGTATCGCACGGTGTTCTTAAGACCTTTCTCTGTTTCAGGTCCCCAAGGCCCTCAAGTGCAGAAGGTACTGGAAAGGCTAACTGGACAGCATACTGTCCCAAATGTTTTCATTGGTACGTACTGCTTTTGGAATGTTCAACATTTTCGAGATGTATTTGAAACATAACTGCTTGAAACATGGGATACTATTATCATAACAAAGTTTTATATTCATTTGTTCTTTGATATGTATATATGTGACTAATTTAGTGCATAATTTCTTATAAGACATTTTGATGTTCATGATCATCAAATAGGCATGCATATATTAGAGAAAAAATTGAACAAACCACAATTGAATCTGTTGTTATAGATCAGTGATGCCTAATTTTCTTTACTATTCCATTGCCAATGTTCTAAACTGGATTTTTGGTTAGAGATTAGAAGCTTTCTGCTGTCTTTCTCTAAGCCTAAAAGTGGACTAGCAATGATTCTGAAAGTTTTTGAATGAGGGCGAGGTTCCTTTATACCTCTATCCTTATAAATCTAATCCCTAAAGTATATGCAAAACTTTGGCATACATGTAACTTAAAGCCAATAATGCTTTCTACTTTTGAAAAAGTCTTATATTATCAAGTCTCGAGTAATCATTGATTGGAACATGCTTGTTGGCTGGATTTAAGCTAGACGGTTGTTCTTGGCAACAGTGTAGACAAAAGGACATGGAAGTTCATAGAAATTTACAAATCATTGTTTTTGGTTAAGTATTGACTTCAAAATGAAAATGAAGCAGAAGATAGTGACTCTGCCTTAGAGTTGGTAGTGAGGTTGATACAAGTCAAGTGGATCGGTATGTTTCTCCAATTGTGTATGCAGTTTTGTGATTGTACTAGAGTTTAAGTAATGATCTATAAAGCAGTAAACATGATAGTTGAGCCTCTACTAATAATTGAAATGAACATCCAAACGGTGTAAGCTTTGGTTCAGAAGATTGTACTTTTGTGTTGTTCAATTAGAGGATCATTTTAGAAGCTGACTACTTTAAGTCGCAGCAACTACTTGAAGCAAACATATAATCATTATTATATTGGAAGCACACTGAAATTATGCTATATTTTTTATTTTATTTTATTTATTTATATTTCTATGTACTGATCTCCAGTTTTTTATCTGAGTATTGCTCAAACTCTTTGTTCTATTCCATTGCAGGGGGCAAACACATTGGTGGTTGTACAGGTACCTTTTACATGCAATTTTCTCCTTTTGTATTACTATCCTTCAGAAGAAAATTTTCCACATTTTGAGTTTGTTTTCTGTGCACAACTTTGTTTACCCAATCGATGCTCTGATACTATCAGATGCATTAGTTATTTATTGAGGTGGTTTCTATATGACCACATAAAGACTTACCTCCTATAGTCATTACTGTTCTCTTATTAGGAAAACTTATGATCTTTAGTTGAATTTATTGAATTTTATTGAAGCCCCAATCATTTAAATCTAACACCAAATATAAAAATTTTGTTCCACTAATCGCTTAATCTCTTTAATGTAGGCAATGGTAGTTATAAATGTTTAAGACTCCGATTTGATTATTAGTATTTCCTCTTGTTCTGGTGCAGATACTGTAAAGTTGTATCGAAAAGGAGAACTTGAACCTTTGCTGTCAGGCGCTACTAAGAATACAGAGAGCTAGCTGTCTTGGCAGTTGATTACTTGGAGAATTTCACTCTCTCCGGCAAACTTGTATTTCTTGAGAAGATCTGCTATCTTTCTGTCTGTAGGAGTCTTTTTTCACCTCATTAACATAAATACTACTTTAGCAATTGTCTTAATGTATTTTCTTCAATTGAACTGTATATGAATGTATATGAACTTATGAAAGTTTGTTGTCAGCTCATTGCATTTACCTAATTTACTCGATAAAAAACCCTACAATCTAGCAGTAGATGAAGGGTTTGCAATGTTGAAGAGATGCAACCCAATTCATTATTTACTTTTCCACTTTATAATGCTTCATCATCGGGAATATGTCATAGAAGACTAATATGAATATAAATCATGTAAGTGCTCGTGAAAACGCCGAAGGATGGGCTTTGTACTGGAAACTTATTACTGAAACTATCCTCACGCCATTGTTAAATAATATAATGCGTCGGAAAGTTAGGAAGGAATTAGTTATCTACATTAAGCAATCCCAATTTAAGTAAATCAGATATTTCAATTAGAAAAACTCCTAGAAGGAGAGCATAGTTGACTTCTAAGACGAAGAAGAAACACAACCTCCAGGCAGTAAAAATCTATGATGTTGCTGATGCAATAAACATATTCCTTAGACGTTTGGAGTAGGTCAGCAATTCATTATGATCTGGAAGGTTCTCTTTAATCTCCGGAACTTGCTTGAAATTCTCAATCCATGCCTGTAACTGAGGGAAGCAATCTGGTTCCAGAAGTTTAACTCCAACCACCTCTTCCATGGCTTCCAGCCACCCAGCGAACCATCCAAATGCTATATCAGTCAATCCAATTTTCTCACCTCCAAAAAACTTCTTGTCTCCAAGGCCTTGCTCTTCCAAGATTTTCAACAATTCCTTGGCTTCTTTTGTTGCCTTCTCTTGCTCCTCACCAACAGCGTGAAAGTATGCGAAAAAAGCCGGAGTCTAGCCATTCAATACAATTAAAGACGAGAAAAAAAATTCTGAGATGTTAAACCCAAGGATCTTAACATTTGTGCCATCAGGTTTCTTACTTAACACTAGAAAAGAAAAGTGTTTTAATAAATTAAAGATTGAGATATGATTACCTTGTCTTCGCCAAACTTAGTCCAGAACCGAGCCTGAGCCTTCTCATAAGGATCATTTGGAAGCAAGGGATTCTGTGGCCAGGTGTCTTCTATGTACTCAAGAATAACCATGGACTCTGCTATTGGTCTTCCATTATGAACAAGCACAGGGATCTGTTTATGAACTGGGTTGTATTGGAGAAGCAAATCACTTTTGTTATGAAGATTTTCTTCCACATATTCATATCTCACTCCCTTGAGCTTTAGAGCCCATATGACCCTGTAACAATATGAACTACTCCATGCTCCAAGTAGCTTCACCTCGTCCATGCTGCGAGAATTTTGATCCTTGTCCTTCTCATCCCTGATAATTCATTTATACAATGATTGAATGCGTTGGTCTTGCTTGAAATTGGTTTTTTTTTAAAGTCCATTTTGATTAAGATTATATTTATCAGTATTAAATTAATTTGTCTTCAAGAATTGCTTTGACTTTAATCTGATAATTCAAAAATGGATGGCTAATTCCACGGTTGGTGAGGAACAAATAATATTTTTAAAATGGACTGGACTTTCAACTTCACTGATTGATGCTTTATATTTATTCTGCATATTTTTTTAATTTTTGATAGTCACAACACTTGGCTTGAATATCAGCAAATTCTCTCAAACACTGAAACATCTTGTGAATTTAATTCCGTTATCGTTCTATTAAGTGGATTATTCGTTGGTCCAAAGAAACCAACTGATGATTTAAAAGAATACATAAAATAAATAATTAAATTATCAAGAAAAAGAGATTACAAAATATGAAAAATCATAAAATTGAATACACACAGATTAGTGATTTTTCTTATGCTAATTTTGATGCAACAATCATCTCCCTCTTCTGCTTGTAATATGCAAACATCTCGTCACAGTCAGGAAGGTTCTGTTTGATGACTGGGTGACCCCTGAAGTTCCCTACCCATGAATGTAAGCCAGGGAAGCTATCAGCATCTAATACTTTTACACCAACTACTTCTTCAATCACTCCAAATGATTTAGCAATCCATCCTAACACCAGGTCTGCCATTCCAATTTCATTGCCCCCAAAAAACTTCTTGTCACCAACGCCTTCTTCTAATACTTTCAGCTGTTCTCTTGCTTCTTTTATTGCCTTCTCTTGTTGCTCCTCTCCAACAGCTATAAAGAATCCTGCAAATATAGGACTCTGCATTGCAAGGAACATCTTAGGTTCTGAAAACATCAAATTATGACCAGTTTATTTCCTTAAAAAACAAATTCAACATAAAAATTGATGCATAATAATTAATTAATCACCTTTTCCTCAGAAAACTTCATCCAGAACCGTGCCATGGCCCTGTCATAAGGGTCTCTTGGGAGCAAAGGATTATGAGGCCATGTATCCTCAATGTACTCAAGAATTACGGTGGACTCGGCGATTGGTTTACCATCATGAATGAGCACCGGGACCTTCTTATGAACTGGGTTATACTTCAAAAGCATGTCACTCTTGTTGAGTAAATCTTGTTCTATATATTCATACTTGATGCACTTCAGTTCCAGAGCCCAAATTACCATGTAAACATATGGACTTGGCCAAGCTCCTAGTAGCTTCACTCGTTCCATGCTTCTTTTGTTTGAATTCAAGTTTTAGTCTCTCAACCCTGCATGTTCATTTATAAATATATATGATCGTTGATCGACCTCACGGATTATCTTAAATGGGATTCAAAATTTATATTTTTTGGCAAAGAGGAAGCATAGTTTGATTTTTTCTGACTTTTCAAAAAGTTTACTTTGATGGGCCAAGAACGCGCCTGCAAGATGCGAATATACATAGTATGAAGATTTCCTTTGATTTTGATGATGGCTATTGGATAGTGATGGTGATGGCTGCTTTTGCTAGCTGAACTTAGAAACTTTTGCAGCATACCACTTTTGACTATATCTATCAGCAGAAGATGGAACTTCATGTATATGATGACCCAAGTTCAAGCAGTTTCGTATAATTTGAAATTTTCAAATTTAAAAAAAAAAAAAAAAAAAAAGGGGGGGAACTCTGAAGATTACAGAGCTGCAACGCAGCAACCTGAACCTGTCTGTATTTTAATTCAGAAGAGCTCACGCATCTGCCTTAAATCTTGTTCATTGGATTAGTATTGCAGCGTTATGGATATGAGCGTGGGCCAGGATTTTAATCAACTTTCTTAGTCTGGGCTTTTTATATTTGCAAGGGACAGGCCCGATAACCCTTGGGTTTGGACTTTGGAGGTTTCAAGCAACCATCACCAGCGTGGCAATTTCATGATCACAACACCTGTAACTGCTGTCTCCACCACCAGGTAAGAAGCCTAACGGAAAGCCATGCAAATTTAACATTCTCTACTGACGAAACTCTTCAAAGTCTCCTATGGCTTCTGTGGCACAATTTTCCTACATTCTTGGACTCCCTAACCTTACTCATAACTACTTCAACAACAATAATTGCAGGTTTTGCTGCCAAATTCTGAGCAATTATGGAAGAAGTTCAAACCCCTCTACCAGTTTATCATTTCGCTCTGTGAAGGCCTCAAAGAAATTGCCATTCTCTTCTACAATCACCTGCTCAGCTACTAATGGGTCCTCCCAAGACTCTGAAATTAGGTACTTTCTCTCTCAGTACTTTTTTAACTTCAGCCTTTGGCTGATTGTCTTGTGTTGATTTGTTACATTCTGAAAAGAAAAATTGTAGATTTGATAAAAAGAAGAATACTAGTTCCAATTAGTTTTTTTTAGTGGTAGTAGTAAAAGTGAGCGTTTAAGTGAAGTACCAGTTTGCGATCTTAGTTTGATCATCAAGACGAATGCAAGATTGAATAATATGTTGTTTTTAGATAGAATTGATGCATCTGATTGAAGATTTTAAAACCCTGATTTTTGGAGTGTGAAATGTGATTTCAGGTAGTTATTGAGAAATAGCAATTTTTTTGGGGAAGTCGAAAGGAGTGTTAAAATTGCATTTTACTTTTCTGTTGTCAATGTTTGAATTCAAATAATAATCTAAAACCTGCTAGCAATGCTTTATATCTGTAAGGTGAGCTTCAGTATGATTCCTTGATATTTGAATTTATTATTCTGTCTGCTGCTAACTGGAATATGAACTGACAAGAAGTAAAATCAGCCTCTGCTTCTTTTAGAAAAAAAGGGATTCTATAGCTGTCTTTTTTAGACTACAAGAGATAAGATCATGTAGACCATGTATAAAGTTATCATGGCAATCTAGTGTTTGTAGCTATAGCAATAAGAACAAGTTGGTTGTGACATAATGTTAACAGATATTTGTGACAAGAAAAGTTATCTGGCAATCTTGTGTTAGTCGCAATAGCCCGTTTATGTCATGAAACGATGGATCATATATTCAATAACATCATGCAGTGTAACACTTACATGCAACTTGTGTTGCGATTCACACTATTTCTTTTAACAAAATGCTTCTAAAATACAAAATTAGGTTGATTTTATTTCCAGCTGCTTCTCTGACATGTTTTCTTTCTATCAATTTCTTGTGCTGTCAGGGTCTGTTTAACAAGTGAGGCTTCCTTGTTTCATAACTTTATTTGTTCTTCAGTTCTGCAGCCAAGATAAGGAGTGAAGTTCTCTCTCCCTTTCGGTCTGTTCGGATGTTCTTTTATCTTGCTTTTATTGCAAGTGGTGCTCTGGGAGGATTAATAGCCACCACACAGTTAATTGCTGCATTAACAAATTCAGCAAGAGCAGCTGAAGTCCCTGAGATTGCGAAAGGTCTTGGAATAGATGTCGGAGCAGTTTCCCTATTTGCATTTCTTTATTCCAGGGAGAACAATGCTAGGAATTTACAACTGGCTAAGCTTACAAGAGAAGAAAGTCTGTCAAAACTGAAGCTCCGTGTGGACGAAAACAGGATTATCTCTGTGAACACTTTACGAGGGATTGCTCGTCTGGTAATCTGTGCAGGCCCTGCATCCTTCATTACAGAGGCTTTCAAACTTAGCGAACCTTTCACACAGAGCCTTTTGGACCGTGGGGTGCTTGTGGTCTCTTTTGCCACGGATGGGAACCTTCCAAATTTTGAGTTTGAAGAAAGTGAGGAGATGAAAAATATTACCAGCAAAAGGAAGAAACTCTGGCAATTGACTCCTGTTTATGTTTCTGAATGGTCCAAGTAAGAGACTACATTCAGAACGTTGATCTAGTCTGTTTCAAGTTCTCTCTCTAACATGTTATGCTTAAACAGGTGGTTAGATGCACAAAAGAAATTGGCTGGTGTCTCCCCTGAGTCTCCTGTGTAAGTGGTCTTCCATGTTAAATACCATAATCTGATCTGTGGATTATCCTTTTAATATACATCCAAAGACAAACATATCTTGCATTAGCATGTACCATGCATATGGGGGCTTTTAAAAATTTGGTTTCTATCTAGGTATTAGTAATCAGACTTCATATCTTAAATCTGTACATCAGTGGACAACTTAGCACATTGTACATCATACAGTTGGCTTCAAAATCTGGTGTAAATTTTGAGCATTGTGCATTTCTTCAAGGAAGTTATCATAAAATTGCTGCTTGTAAAGAACCTTATCATCTAATGTGTGTTAATTCTGCAGGTATTTATCTCTACGCTTGGATGGCCGTGTCCGTGGTAGTGGAGTTGGCTACCCTCCTTGGAATGCTTTTGTAGCACAATTACCCCCAATAAAAGGAATGTGGACAGGCCTTCTTGATGGCATGGACGGAAGAGTTCTTTAAATCAAATGTGTTCAGTTATTACAGCTCTCCCCCTTATTCAATGGAGATTCATGTTGTGTTAGTCATTGGTAAGTTTTGTATAATCTTACTTTATTTATCTTTTTTCTTTTAACTTGCTGCCAATGACACTTTGTATCAACATTGAGGTCCCATGTGCTAAGAAATAGCACAATTCAGTTACTAATATAAAAGTTATTGTGATATTTGTCATTTTGATCTTGGAGATACCTACATTTTGGTGTTAGAAAGAGATGGTGTAAATTTTATCTTCCAAAGTTTTCAGACAGTCTCACCAAAAAAATAGAAACTTTGGCACAGAAAATTGAATCATTAGGATCTATGCCATTTTATTTCATAAAAACAAATAGTTTTGCACATTTTATTCGCAATTTTGGGAGCTTGGTTTTGGTAATAGATTTGGTTCCTCCTCTCAGCAGTTATGTACAGAACTAGCAAGGCTCAAACTTTGGTTAGAATATTTAAAGCACTGATTAGTGTGCTAAGTGTAGTATTGGTTCAAAGGAAGTTTCACTCTTATATAATGTAACGACAGTATCTTGATTTCAATGAAATTAATATCCTGGAAGGAGGTATGGAATGTGATTAATTGCTTAAAATATGCAAGAGAGGGAGTGTGTTACTTGGGATAATTTGTACCTAAAGCTCTGTCGCTGTTTCAATGTATTACCATATATTTCTTTATAGACAGTGCTTCAGTGTAATTTCTACCTGAAGTTCTGAAGATGTTTAAATGTACTACCATACAATATCGCTTTATAGACTTAGTAGAAGCTCCTATATCTATTCATGAATTTTCTTTAGATAGACTGTCCAACTGTTTTCTCAGATGTTATTTCTCATTTCTTGATTCATCAAAGAAAGATGGAAGTGAGTTACTTAGGATCAAAACCACTTTCAGATAGTCTTAAATGCAATCTTGCTTGTTTATAGTCTTTGATAAANGATATTTGTCATTTTGATCTTGGAGATACCTACATTTTGGTGTTAGAAAGAGATGGTGTAAATTTTGTCTTCCAAAGTTTTCAGACAGTCTCACCAAAAAAATAGAAACTTTGGCACAGAAAATTGAATCATTAGGATCTATGCCATTTTATTTCATAAAAACAAATAGTTTTGCACATTTTATTCGCAATTTTGGGAGCTTGGTTTTGGTAATAGATTTGGTTCCTCCTCTCAGCAGTTCTGTACAGAACTAGCAAGGCTCAAACTTTGGTTAGAATATTTAAAGCACTGATTAGTGTGCTAAGTGTAGTATTGGTTCGAAGGAAATTTCACTCTTATATAATGTAACGACAGTATCTTGATTTCAATGAAATTAATATCCTGGAAGGAGGTATGGAATGTGATTAATTGCTTAAAATATGCAAGAGAGGGAGTGTGTTACTTGGGATAATTTGTACCTAAAGCTCTGTCGCTGTTTCAATGTATTACCATATATTTCTTTATAGACAGTGCTTCAGTGTAATTTCTACCTGAAGTTCTGAAGATGTTTAAATGTACTACCATACAATATCACTTTATAGACTTGGTAGAAGCTCCTATATCCATTCATGAATTTTCTTTAGATATACTGTCCAACTGTTTTCTCAGATGTTATTTCTCATTTCTTGATTCATCAAAGATAGATGGAAGTGAGTTACTTAGGATCAAAACCACTTTCAGATAGTCTTAAATGCAATCTTGCTTGTTTATAGTCTTTGATTCAGATAAAAGCAGAAACACTTTTCAAAAACAGAAAACCACTTCACGTTGATTCTTAAGAAAATAATTGATATTAACAAAAAAGGAAAAAAAAACAAAATGTATTGCAGACACTTTTGGCAAAAAGTATTTTTGCTTGACAAATTCCCTAGAAACACTCTTTTAACTTGCTTCAGGTGTTATGGCTGAAAATCGTTTTACTTTAAGGCACTTCGCCCAAAACACTTGTAAATGCCTTCTCAGTATGGCGTGATCAAAAGAAATTGAAAACTTCTTGCTGATCTCGCTTGATGATGGATATGATAGTGATGTATTGATGTAACGATGGATTTAGAATGATTGTCATAATGGTGTATGTTGTGGACATGTTTTTGTTCAGATACTAGCATAAACATGATTAGATGAAGAAGACAAGAAGAATTCACTGGGAGAATATAATATACACACACAAAAGCTTAAGCTAGGAGGGGAATAATGTGAAAATCAAAATTACACAGCTATTATTAACTCATTTAACTTCTTCGATCTCATCCAATGCGTAGTTGTTTGTGGATACATTTGCATAATTGACCTTGTTGAATCGAACCACAACTGGGTAACGACTCTTGGGATCCTGCACAAAATACAGGCAGGCTTTAGAAACCCATACAATGAATGGAATGCTTGAGTTGAGAAAGAGAAACATAAAGAGAAATCTGACCTGGTCAACAGCCACAACAGACCCAATTCCATTGTACCAGTAAGACTCCCTCCTCAGAATCTTCACCTGTTGATTGAAATGTTTAATAACAATTAGATTGCTGTACCAGGTCCATATATGAACAGAAACTGTAACATTTTCAAACCTATTCTTCGTTAATTGTATGGCTTGAAAGCTGAAACTGAAGTACTATCAATTATACTTCTATAATCACCTATACATAAAAGCTAGTTTCTACGTGCTATTGTTGTGCTTACAATCAACTTCTCAAGATTGTTGTACGTCATCTCTAGCATTATTAATCTACACTGTAATTTTTAACTTATTATCATGATCTGTACACTTCTACTATCAAAAGAGTAACACAAAAATCATAAAGCCAAATCATTCATATAGGAATCCTTGTAAAGCCAAGAGGGTGTAGACTAGTTTCCAGGCATGTGTAGTTTGCGATAGTTGTGACTCACCTTAGTGCCTCTCTTGGGTCCAATTGGAGGTGGCTTGGGCTTCGGAGCTTCACCCTGAGCGGGGGCAGCGGTGGTGGTTGGCGGGGCAGCTCCCTCTTCAGCCGCTCTTACGACAAGCCTTGAACTGTTGTTGTTGGTGGTGGTGTTCTTTGAAGGGAAAAACACCATACTACTCCTAGAAGCTGAGTTTGCATTGGTGGAAACACTGTGTGTCAGCAAAAACCCAGAAGCAGCTGAAGCCATGTTGCAGCTAGCCATAGTATTACTATGCCTCTGTGTCTCTGAGTATGTGCGTTTAATTGATGAAGAATTGCAGAAAGTAGAAGAATAAGGTATGGACAATAACAAAGTTTGAGAGGCTTGAAATTAACTAAAATTTTGTGTGTTTTGGAGGGGAGAATTATCTGATCTTTGAAAGTGGAATAAATCGTTTCCTCCACTAGGGTGTTGCCACCTCTGCACCATATCCTTTTTGTTTGGGTAATGTGATTACAAGTCACTCTACTCTAGATTTGCGAAGTGGGCTCACTTAGTATATTGTACACGATCCACATTCAGAATCTATTAGCAGTTAACCCTCCTCTTTTATGGGCAAATGAAAATCTCTGTCAACTCCGGGTAAAAATAATTTCCCAATTATATATGTGATCATCCATTTTAAAAAAATTAATGTCATTTTTCAAGGATGCGTTGAACTTTGGAGTATCAATTGTATCAGTAATCAAATGATCATGAATAACCGTCCATAAACTATCTTCACTCAATTTATTATCATTGTTGTCTTGTCCATACAACATCTATTTAGTGTTTTTTTTTTTTTTTTTTGGGTAGGGTTATGTAAAATGAAATTGCTTCTTTGTCTAATATAAATTTAATAGAGCAAAGTAAGAGACATATTTTCACCCGAGGTTAAGCGAAATCCCAAGTTGACTCCCTGATTATATTTATTCTAATTTTCACCCTTAAAGTAAGGTTGTTTTCTTTATTTTAACAGATTAACAATTTTTCATTGTAGTGCAGCACACATTAGCATGCCAAAATGTGTCGACGCTTCTTTGGCAGAAGAATAGAAGATGAGTTCATGTTAGCAAAAAGCAGCTCATGTTAGCAGTGCTCAAGCCGGTTGTTTTTTGCTTTTTTCCACCGACTCCGAAGTCTAAAATCACTTCTGAGATAACCGTTGAACTCCTCACAACCTCTTCTATAAATTTCATACATTCACTTGCCGACCTCACTTACTGTTTCTGACCACCTCCAACAGTCAGTCAATCACTAATGATGTTAATTTAGGGTGAAAATCTGGAATAAATACAACTAAGGGTATTAACTAGGGATTTCACAAAACCTTGGGTGGGAATATGTTGTTCACTCAATTTAATATAAACAAAGATGAAGAATGAAAAGCAATATAAATATGAAAACGGAAGTAAATTAAGAAAAAAATCAAATATGGGCTTCAGTTAGGGCACCACTTTTTTTGTTGGCCCGGTAGGGTTAGAGGCCTTAGGGCTTTGAGAGTAGCCACAGGAAATCCAGACTACGCTTTTATAAGCCCAGATTTGAGTAATATGCCCACTCAGGCACTCACCCCGGACCCTCTGTCACGCGTGGCATTTTGGCGCCTAAATATCACCCACTCGATAGCGTCTCTTAGACTCTTACTGTTTCTCAACTCCAGAAAACCAAAATCCAACTGCATAAAATTCAAACAATGAAAAGAAAAAATTCCCGAACTAACCCTAAAGATTCACCACCGATTCGAACCTCATTTACCGCCGAAATCCGGAGCTCCGAGAAACAATTCAGTTCTGCAAAAGGTTTCACTTATACTTCTCTCGCATCTTTTTGAATTCTTTATATTGAAATTCATTCGCCAGATTCTTTTTTTGCACTCTGAGAAGTGAATTTGATTGATCATCTTGGTTATGGCTTTAAATTTGGTGTTTTATGCAGCTGGTGAGCCTAAAACTTCGGAGTACGCATTTTTTAAAAAATTAAAGACAAATGCAGGCCACAGATCGCATTCTCGTGCATTGGATAAGGAGGAAATGGGATCGAAATTGTTGAGTTTAAGTGACCACTCTAATGCGGAGTGGGGTGGCGCGATCAAGAATAACTTCAATGACTTCAGATTGCCAGTTGAAGACGTACCATGTCTTAATCCAGGCTTATTCCTCTCACCTGTTGGTACACATTCAGCGCTTGGAATTAAAATTTCAAATTTTGTGTTTAATTTTCTTTAAGTTACTCGATTTTCTCATGTATTGCACATATTGCTCTACGATAGCATATGAAAGATTGCCAAACCCGTGCTTCCCCTTATTTTACTTTTCTTTTCATATTTATTTCATAGGAGTCTCTTGACACCAAGTGTCCTAAAAGAAACAGAAACGGAATCTACCTGCATGTTATGTATAATGAGATATAAGATTTTGGCACCCATTCTTGTTTCTAATAAACAAGTTAAATGTGCTATTTTGCCGGTCTGCATGATGCATTCTCTTGTTCATAGGATTGGCTACTCTATTATAATGTTGCGGCACATAGAAGATATATGTATAAATGGANTCAGTAATCAAATGATCATGAATAACCGTCGACAAACTATCTTCACTCAATTTATTATCATTGTTCTCTTGTCCATACAACATCTATTTAGTGTTTTTTTTTTTTTTTTTTGGGTAGGGTTATGTAAAATGAAATTGCTTCTTTGTCTAATATAAATTTAATAGAGCAAAGTAATCGACATATTTTCACCCGAGGTTAAGCGAAATCCTAAGTTGACCCCTTGATTATATTTATTCTAAATTCACACCCTTAAAATAACATTGTTTTCTTTATTTTAACAGATTAACAATTTTTCATTGTAGTGCAGCACACATTAGCATGCCAAAATGTGTCGACGCTTCTTTGGCAGAAGAATAGAAGATGAGTTCATGTTAGCAAAAAGCAGCTCATGTTAGCAGTGCTCAAGCCGGTTGTTTTTTGCTTTTTTCCACCGACTCCGAAGTCTAAAATCACTTCTGAGATAACCGTTGAACTCCTCACAACCTCTTCTATAAATTTCATACATTCACTTGCCGACCTCACTTACTGTTTCTGACCACCTCCAACAGTCAGTCAATCACTAATGATGTTAATTTAGGGTGAAAATCTGGAATAAATACAACTAAGGGTATTAACTTGGGATTTCACAAAACCTTGGGTGGGAATATGTTGTTCACTCAATTTAATATAAACAAAGATGAAGAATGAAAAGCAATATAAGCATGAAAACGGAAGTAAATTAAGAAAAAAATCAAATATGGGCTTCAGTTAGGGCACCACTTTTTTTGTTGGCCCGGTAGGGTTAGAGGCCTTAGGGCTTTGAGAGTAGCCACAGGAAATCCAGACTACGCTTTTATAAGCCCAGATTTGAGTAATATGCCCACTCAGGCACTCACCCCGGACCCTCTGTCACGCGTGGCATTTTGGCGCCTAAATATCACCCACTCGATAGCGTCTCTTAGACTCTTACTGTTTCTCAACTCCAGAAAACCAAAATCCAACTGCATAAAATTCAAACAATGAAAAGAAAAAATTCCCGAACTAACCCTAAAGATTCACCACCGATTCGAACCTCATTTACCGCCGAAATCCGGAGCTCCGAGAAACAATTCAGTTCTGCAAAAGGTTTCACTTATACTTCTCTCGCATCTTTTTGAATTCTTTATATTGAAATTCATTCGCCAGATTCTTTTTTTGCACTCTGAGAAGTGAATTTGATTGATCATCTTGGTTATGGCTTTAAATTTGGTGTTTTATGCAGCTGGTGAGCCTAAAACTTCGGAGTACGCATTTTTTAAAAAATTAAAGACAAATGCAGGCCACAGATCGCATTCTCGTGCATTGGATAAGGAGGAAATGGGATCGAAATTGTTGAGTTTAAGTGACCACTCTAATGCGGAGTGGGGTGGCGCGATCAAGAATAACTTCAATGACTTCAGATTGCCAGTTGAAGACGTACCATGTCTTAATCCAGGCTTATTCCTCTCACCTGTTGGTACACATTCAGCGCTTGGAATTAAAATTTCAAATTTTGTGTTTAATTTTCTTTAAGTTACTCGATTTTCTCATGTATTGCACATATTGCTCTACGATAGCATATGAAAGATTGCCAAACCCGTGCTTCCCCTTATTTTACTTTTCTTTTCATATTTATTTCATAGGAGTCTCTTGATACCAAGGGTCCTAAAAGAAACAGAAACGGAATCTACCTGCATTTTATGTATAATGAGATATAAGATTTTGGCAACCATTCTTGTTTTTAATAAACAAGTTAAATGTGCTATTTTGCCAGTCTGAATGATGCATTCTCTTGTTCATAGCATTGGCTACTCTATTATAATGTTGCGGCACATAGAAGATATATGTATAAATGGAATATTCCGAGAACTTATTTACTGATGAACTAATTGGTGTTCTCAAGCCCTTCCCAGAATTCTGCTAAATATTAATAATCAGTCCACTTTTGCCATGTTGTTAATTCAGTTAATAAGCTCCGTTTATAGATTACATTTACATTACATATTACATATTACCCTATATCCTCATCAGTATAATGATTGTTTGCTTCATGAAGTTGAATATTTGGTTGTTTATGTTGTGTTGTAAAATGATGAAAACATTAATTATTTGCATTTCACTATTTAAATTATTTTAAATCCATTTAGGTAATGTTTCCAATTTAAGCTGAAACTCTGTCATCCAGATATGAAGGCTAAACTTCAAATTTTTGTTCCTGCAAGTAATTCTCCATTTGTCTTTTTTGTTAGTTAAGGTTCATGTGAAGAGAGCTGCTACAGATTTTGGGGATATATGCAGTACAAGGAAAAGCATGGAGGAATATAGCATAGCTGGGAGACCTCAGGGTACTTTTCGGTTTATGGAATATCAGCCATTCTTTTTTTCTCTCATTCTGGAAGCCAATTAGCCAAGTAGACGGAAGAAAATAAAAATAAAAAATCTGAATGCTACTTATAAGACACTGTAGTAACAGGAAAAACCGTTTCTGAATTTCTTTTGATGCCCCATTTTCCTATTCATCAAACTGAGAATGTTAAAGCATTGTATTGTGATATCAACTTTCCAGGAATTCGGAATCAGCAAGAAGATCTCTTTTCCAGAAAGAGACAGAAGCTACATCAGTGGGTTACAGATACTTCGTTTCCTGAAATCAGAGAACTCTGTTCAAAAGGGTTAGGCACACTATTGTTGATAAGTTTTCTTGTAGTNAGCCAAGTAGACGGAAGAAAATAAAAATAAAAAATCTGAATGCTACTTATAAGACACTGTAGTAACAGGAAAAACCGTTTCTGAATTTCTTTTGATGCCCCATTTTCCTATTCATCAAACTGAGAATGTTAAAGCATTGTATTGTGATACATGGTCATGTGATATCAACTTTCCAGGAATTCGGAATCAGCAAGAAGATCTCTTTTCCAGAAAGAGACAGAAGCTACATCAGTGGGTTACAGATACTTCGTTTCCTGAAATCAGAGAACTCTGTTCAAAAGGGTTAGGCACACTATTGTTGATAAGTTTTCTTGTGGTTTTTGCATTATATCGTGGACTTCATGAAATTTTTCTCAGGTATGATTTTGTTTCTGTGCTCCTCAGTCGGCTGTTCCCACAGATCAATGAAGAATATGTATATGCTCCCTTTAATATCCTTTTCTGTTTTTAAATAGAATTCTTTTTTTTTTTGTTTTAACCTTGAATTACATAGCAAATTTAATTTCTCCTCCAGAGTTTCAAGATTCCAGAGTCTGTGCAAGGGGAGAGCAATACTTTACTTTCTTGGCCTCATTCAAATATTCACTTAGAGAAGCCTCATTACATGTCCACAAGAAACATTACAGACATTGAATGTGACCCATGCTTGCAAGATGGAATGTTAACTTGTTGGATGGACAGATCGAGAGACACAGCTCTTACAAATTCTGATTCTAGAACCTGTCATGGTCACAACACGCTTCTTGATTACAATCTAAGGGAAACTAGCCATGAATTGGGAGGAATAAGAAATACAATTCCGTGGATCGATGGCAGTTCTGCTTTTAGTTCTCCTTCCAAAAATGATGGATATCTTCCTCCTATTTGTGTCAAAGAGCTGGATGATTTCCAGTATTTAGATGGTTCGTTGTTTGGAAGAGAGAAACACCCTCTGCTGCTTGGATGGGATTTCCCAAACGTGACAAAAGAAAGATGTTCTGCGGTTAATTCCAAAAATACAGAGTTGGTCACTTATTCAACAGCTTCAACTCCATGGGGTAAAAATCATGACCGGAATCTGGATGAAGGATATGAGTTACTTGATGCTAGTGAGCTTTGTGTGTCCTCCGTAATTTGCAAGTATCCTCCAAACTTTTATGCATTACCACATTCCTCTTCAACCAGCTATGGCAAACATGAGTTTGGAAGTAAATTTTTAGAGGATCACGAGGAAGATACAGCGGAAGATTTGAACCGTTATTCTTTGGCATTATCACACGCGCCAAACAACCTTTGTGTAGCTGAAGATTTCAATCATTACACCACATACAAAGGTAGCAGGACCCCCCTTTCTCCTCGAAATCATCACTGGTTTCCAAGGGAGGTTTCCATTGAGAGGCATCGGGATCCTGGTACAGAAGCTCACCTGTCCTCTGAAGTTGATTTTTGTTTAGGAAGGAATTGCTTATCGATCAAAGGTTCCTCAAATATGCATTATTCGTCCATTGATGCTGCTGTTCAGGGTCACCAAAAGGAAAGCATATTTTCACACTTCCTCGATGAGGACAAGTACGAGAATTTCCTGGAATTTAATAGTTTGAGTCACATGGGAGTGCTTAATCATATTAGGAAAAATATAGTTGACATATGTGACTGGTCATCTTTCTTTTTCAGATGACCCTGGACAAACAAAAAGCATCCCATTTGCCCCTTGATAAATCAAGCTGGGATGAAACCTAAGGAGATATATGTCTTGAAGATATTGAGGTTAAATACATGTGATGCTTCCATTTGCTTCATTTAAAAGTTGAAATGCCGTGTTTTGCAAATAAAACAATGCCCTTCCACTCTTGTTATAAGCTGTCATGAGTAGCTAGAATTTTCAATGCGATAATAAAAATGGGGAATTCTTTGGTGAACAGAATGTTATTTCTTGCCATTGTTATATAGCCCTTCATCTAATGCCTCATTTATGGTTGTTTCATAATCTTCAACTACCTATAGGATCGTACTCAGACTTCCACTGGGCTACTCCTTGTCCTTGCAACGTTGTGGTCCACTTCGCCAATCATGGTCGTGCATCAAAACTAAAGTTGAAAACCTTGTTCACTTTTCTTAACGAATCTTATTCCCCATTATCCGTTTCACTATTAATACCCTTTTTTAAAGGGTATGATGACATAATATTGGTTTGGTTGTTGCTGTAATTGCACTTAGGCGACAGAGCATGTGCATGTTGACGTTCGGAGTCCGGTATTTTTAATTTCTCCATGGTACAACAAAATGTTCGCTTTCCCTTGAGTCCAATCGCTACTTGACACCCCATCAATTGTTACAATGTTTTCGTTACTACCAAAACGCCATAAATTAGTCTTTACTAATAAAATTGGTTGGTTTTCTTGGTTTACGCATAAGCTTCATTTTAGTAAATTTTAACTTGTATATTAAATAATTAAACTCAAATTCATTTGCTACATAAATAAATTATTTTATGCATTGTTTACTCGCTTAAGATTTGACATTTTCGTGTTCAGTTAACTTCATTTATAATTTTTTCCAACTCTAAACATAAATATACATATTTAAATTCAAAGAATACAAGAACTATTTTTAAATTATCTTTAATTGAAATCAATGATAAAACAAAACTATCAATCACGTCTAGCAGTCAAATCTAATATATTTAAATTTTGTCATTTTGGTAGAACATAAAGTAAGAAATTGAATTATGTTGTGGGGATTATTAGTGCGCAGCAACAAGTTCATCCCGTGACCATGAAAATAAAATTACTTTCACTTTTACTTGTGATGATAAGATGCATTCTGTCCCTTTTAATTTTTTTTGAAATAATATTAAAATTTTGTTACTTTCTTACGAATATGATGTAACCCAATATTCTATATGATAAATTAATATTTAGAGCATAAAAAAGGTGACACCATTAAAGTCGTTTTCATGTGCATGTGCTCTCTAGATGGTCCTTTTGACAAAAGATGAAAGATTTGTTGGATGGTTGAGCTGCCCCATCAAGATTTTTTGCTTCAATTAAACTTAACAAGTCATAGGGTATTACCATTTACCACTATCTTAACGTCAATTCATTTGATAGGGACTTTTAGCTATCTCAACATGAACACTTCCATCCTGTTTTTTAGTATATTGAATACGATTCATATAAAATATACTTTTACACTATACAATTACACATACCAAACATGACCTAAAATTATTAAATGATATAAAATAATAGGAAATCAAAGTTGGCCCTCGCTTTCTTCTCTCCACTTCAATTCCTAACTTTGACTTTCTGGCAAGTTCAAAGATATAATTTCTATAATTAGAAGGGAATATGTAAATAAAGAGTAATGTTATAGTTATTGAAAAACATATATTGAATTCATACACCGACATATATGATATTATCTTTATTTTTTATAAAATAAAAATCATAATTAATCGATGATCATAATGGTGTTACGTTTGTTGGTGAGTGAATTTGGTATATAGTTTTGGTAACTATATCATTTTTCGTAAATAAAGGAGAGGACTATTTGGTTGGGATTTTGGGAAAAACTGAACAAAGATTGGCGTCACTTGCCCATATTCTGCTACGATAATGGGCTACAACATCTGTTGTTTATGGTCAAAGTGGTTCGTTGTAGGCCCTTTCTATCTTTCATTAGTGCCAAAATATCGTAGCTTGAGTTATATGGTCACTATCACTAACTTAACAATATCATTAGGGTCAGCTTAATAGACCACCATTGTACGTGTTTGATTCTCCTGATCTTCTAAATTAATTTGGAACATACCTTATATTTATTTTCTTCTGATTTTAAGGGCCAAATATGGTTTGTTTTGCGCCATTATGATACTAGTAATACTTCACCGTCAAAGCCGCGTTGGTTGAGTGAGAGTCCAGCCAGCCACAGAAAGGGACGAAACTTCTAGTTATAATTATATTACTTAATTAGTGAACCAAACCCTCACTTTCTGACTAAACCAATTGCCTAATCACGACCTAATCTCTCAATTTATTAATACTAATTAATTGACAGTACCATCACGCTTTGTCGTTTTATTAAACCCCTTTTTATAGTATTATTTTCTTGTCAATAATCATTTACTTTTTTCTTTTCTGTTAGAGACGTGAACCGGAGCCCTTTTGTCTTAAGCCTAAAACATCTAAACAAAACGATAGAAAGAAGAGAATCTGCTCATATTGATAAAAGAAAAATCGCAAGTACAAGAGCTATCGTGTATTTAATAATTGTTTGGTCTATCCACAGCCACAAGGCAAGGTGTTATTAATAAAAATATAAATTAAAAAAAATTATAAATTGTTGCATGATGGGTAGTTGTGGTTGTGGACGTTTGATCGGCGCCTGAAAAATAAATTACAAGTTTCGCTTATTTATTATTAGTATTTGGGTTGGTGGTATAATTTAAAGAAAATTAATAAAGTTAGAGAAATTTTTGATTTCGTGCATAAATGTGATGTTATTTTATAATGGAATAAAAGAATGAATGACTTTTTCTCTTGTCACCATTAAACAATTGACTTTGGTTTTACTTTCTATAATCAATTTCAATGATGTTCTCAATAATGTTAAGGTATATGTTCAAAATTCAAATTAAGTCTTTGATTTAATAATTCATCTCGTATACACTTTTTGCCAGTAATAAGTATTTTACATTATTTGAACACTTATTTTGACCTATAAAATAAAGTAAGAAGAATGTGTGCAACGTTTACTCGGGTAATTAAATTTGAATTCTAATGAAAAGTTGGGGAGATTTTTATTTTTTCTGTATCCTCAAAGTTGGAGACCTTTTAATTATTAAGTTTCAACAATGAATCAAGTAACATATGTAGCGTTACATATTCATATACTCAATATGTTCACTTTTTTGGAGATTTTTCCTTTATATAAAACATTAATTAATCATTGCACAAACTGTTTTGGTGATTAAACGTGTGACCTACCAAACGAGCCACTGGACTTAAAAATTATATTATTAAAAATAAAAAGCGGTTTATGATTGTGTAGTTATTGTAGTATAACTATTTTGTCAAGGGTAAAAAATGATTAATATTCATTAAAGCTTCTTTAATTTAAATTAGAGCAAACGACATATTCCCCACCCGAGGTTTAGCGTTATCATATGTTGATACATCTAGTTCCATTTATTTTAGATTCTCACCTTTAAAGTATGATCGTTTCTTTTATTAACAGATTCTCAACTTTTTACTGCAGCAAGACATGCATTAGCATTTTAAAGTATGTCAACGCTTTCTTTGGCCAAGAAGGGTTCATGTTAGCAAAAAAAAAGCTCATATTAGTAGTCTCAAAGCCGATAGTTTTGGCCTTTTTTCGGTCAATTCTAAAATCCAAAATCACTTTTCGAAATCATCGTTGTACTCCCCACAACCTCCTCTATGAAACCCATAAATTTACTTGCTGACTTCATTCACCGTTTTTTATCACTTTCAATAGTCACTAACGGTGTTAGTTTAAGCTTTTAAAAGTGAGAATTTAGAATAAATGCAACTAGAAGGTATTAATTTAGGATTTCGTTAAACCTCGTGTGGGAATAAGTTGTTTACTCTTTAAATTATTTAATTGAAATACTTTGACCAAACAAAGCATAGTCTGGCAATTGGTGTGTTACCGTTTTGGTAAAATTAAATTTAAGAAAACTTATAACTACTCTTACTGACTAAAACCATGCTTACTTAATACAACACATAATACCTAAATACAGGGATGAAATTGATATTTCTTTAAATGATTACTATAGATATTATTTTCCCTTTTTTATGTTATTATTAAATTATCCGATCCTTCTCTCTCCGTAATCCAAACTCATAAATGAAACACAATTAAACAAAATATTTTCAAGTCCGCACAGAGTCGGTGGGTGCAGAGCGGAAAGCTAAAGCCAAAACTCAACGTACACGCTCTCTCTCGCTCTCTCTTGTTGACACTTTACACGCAGATACGCTCTTCACATAGAGGCACCGATCTTCTCAACTGACGTCAGGTTCCGGCGAATATCCGGTCACATTTCACCGGAATGTCAGTTTACTGTCACTAGGTTGGCATCTCCCTCTGAAATGTTCCCTGCAACGGTGCCGTTTCAAAGTGTGCCATTTTTTAATAGTTCACTTCCACCTTTCTGCTGGTCTTTGTCGCTCTTCTGTGAACTGCAAATCGAATCTAATTCTCTTCTCTCTGTGGATTTGCTTTTTGTTCTAATGGCAGCTTTTTGGAAGCTGTTTCCTTTTCACAATTTCTTTTCAAGCATATTGTTTTTTTTTTTTTTTTTTTTTTTGGTGTTTTTTAATCTACAGCCATTTGATTTGCAATCTTGAAAAATGCGGCCGTTGATTAGTATCTGATACTGATTTACAAGCGGTTTTGTGAAATGTTGGTGATTTATTACTTTGATCAGAGTATAATTGATGTAATAAAGTAGAAGTGAGAGCTAGTTAAGAGTTTGTTCAGGCCAATAGTGACCACTTGATGTGATTTATCATCTGAGAATGTCACTAAATTTTCGTTCTCAGAAGTGTGAAGACGATATCTGTATAATATACTTTCATTCCTTTTTTCACTTGAATCAAGGCTTTTGTTGTCAATTGATTGGCTTCTTCTCTTCTTTGAACTACCAGCTCTTTCTTCTCTCTATAAATTGCTGCACCTTTTGTCACTTAGGATTTCACTTATTGTTTTAATTTTTTTTTTTTTGGTTTTAACACCTTTTGGTAAACTTGAAGCTTAGAGTTTTGGTAATTAAAGCGGTTTTTTTTTTTTTAATATTTATTTTTAACTGAAGCGGCCTGTTTTGGTCCCTTTCATTAGTTACTTCTGTTAAGATTATTTTCGTATGTTTGTTGCATTTGGTTTGATTTCTTGAGATTGTGTCTCGCAGGTGTCAAAATGAATGGGATTCAGAGTAGAAAAGCTCAGAATATAAATATAGATAAACAGTTCGCAGGTGCAGGATGCCTGGGACGAATGGTCAACCTTTTTGATTTGGGCACTGGCGTCCCTGGAAACAGGCTGCTCACTGATAAACCACATCACGATGGTGATTTCGTTTTCTATCTACTATATTTTCGTTTTTTCCCATAGTTGATTAGACTTTTATTGCCTTGAGAAAATGTCTGCCTCTGATGTTTTTTAAGCATTTGTTGCTTGATCCTACTTCATTTATCTGATGCTTTCTGGATCATGCATGAGAGTGATGGTTATTGTTTGGCTGTTTTTATGAATCGTTTTGTTTAACCCTTTTAGATTATGTATTATTTTCAGAATATGTTATATGCCATTTTCCAAATACAACTACTGAACTTTTAATTTTTTTATTTCTTTCTTTTTCACTTCTCTTGCACATGTCAGAGAACTTTTTAAATTACTTGAATTACATTAGAGAATTCAGCTTTCTTCTGATTGTTTTTCCTTCTTGCTTATAATTTTGGATCAAGCTTATATTACTTACGTTTTACGCACTGCCTCCTGATGCAGATAGTTAATTTGCTCTCTTTTTCTTTACCCACCTCTTTATAGCTTCTCCACCAGAGAGATTACAAAATTATATTTCCCATAAAAAATCTTGTCTTTTCGACAATTTTTATCCCGTTTGGTCATCATGGTTGTTATTTATCTCATGGTATAATTTGTTGTACATTCTTAAATTATTATATTGATCCAAGATGTTATTGACATGGAGGTGGTTGATTGGCAGGTGCTTCACTCTCAAGAAGTCGGTCGGATGTGGCTAGGATGTCACCTTTTGCAGATCAGATAGAGGATAAGCTGGTAAGTTTGAGGATTACTTCTTGGTAATTGTAATTATATGACTGTGAGAAAGCAGATTCCAAGCACAGCTTGTCTGTTTTGCTCACACTTGCATTATTATATAATATACTAAACTGTCCTGATCTGTGTTGCATTTCATTCGGTGTGCAGGTTGTCTCTGAGTTTAGGAGAACTTCATCAAACAAGAAAGCTAATGGTACACCCATGAAAACACTTATAGCCCAAGAAATGTCAAAAGAAGTAGTGTCTAAGCATAACCCGCCCAATGTGGTTGCCAAGTTGATGGGTCTCGATCCCCTTCCACAACATCAGCCTAGTTCAGCTGCTCAAAGAAGTCATTCAAAAGGTTATTCGCGACATTCTCCAAGTCATTCGGTGATACCATTGGAATGTTGGGAGCAAGATCATGGATTTCTAGACAATAGAGTGCCTAGTGAAGTTCATCGGTTTCAAGAACAGAATGATTGCAAGGATGTGTATGAAATCTGGCAGCAGTCTCAACAGGCAAGTTATTCGAGAGATAATTCAATGCAGAAGGGAAGGTATAATGAAACTATAAGTGAGAAAAAGATGGCTCTTGTTCGTCAAAAGTTCATGGAAGCGAAACGTCTAGCCACAGACGAAAAACTTCGCCAGTCCAAGGAGTTCCAGGACGCATTGGAAGTTTTAAGTTCCAATAAAGATTTATTCCTTAGGTTTCTTCAAGAACCAAATTCCTTATTCTCTCAGCATCTGTATGATTTGCAGTCAATTGCACCACCTCCTGAGACTAAAAGAATCACTGTTCTTAGACCGTCAAAGATGGTTGATAATGAAAAATTTACAGGATCAGGAAACTTGATTGATAAACAATCCAATAAGCCAGCCCAAGTGGTTCAAGCGACTGGATGGGAAAGCAATAGTCCTGGATACTCTCCACTTTATGCTAATCATAAAGTTAATGAACATCCTGCTCAATCTACAAGAATAGTGGTATTGAAGCCTAGCCCTGGGAAGACTCATGAAGTCAAGGCTGTAGTTTCCTTGCCTTCCTCACCCTCAAGAATATCACATGGTGAAGACTTGTATGAGGAACCTGAAGATGACGAGGTGCAAGAATCAAGAGAAGTGGCAGAGGAGATCACAAGGAAGATGCGTGAAACTCTGATGGGTCACCGAAGGGATGAGACTTTACTTTCTTCTGTGTTTTCCAATGGCTATGTCGGTGATGAGAGTTCATTTAACAAATCAGAAAATGAGTATGCAGCAGGACATATAAGTGATTCAGAAGCCATGTCACCAACTTCTAGGCATTCATGGGATTACATCAATAGGTTTGGTAGCCCATATTCTTCTTCCTCCTTCAGCCGTGCATCATGTTCTCCAGAGTCATCAGTATGCAGAGAGGCAAAGAAACGACTTTCTGAAAGATGGGCCATGATGGCGTTGAATGGGAACTCTCAGGAGCAGAGACATGTCCGGAGAAGCTCAAGTACATTGGGGGAGATGCTTGCTCTTTCTGATACAAAGAAGTCAGTGAGATCCGAGGAGGAGGTTATTAAGAATCAACAAGAACCGAGGGGCTCAACTTCATGCTTAACTAGTAATTTGAATAAAGAAGAAGGTATGTGTGAGTCTCCTAAAAATCTTATGAGATCAAAATCTGTTCCTGTATCTTCCGCAGTGTATGGTGCCAGGCTCAATGTTGAAGTGGCTGATCCTGAGGCTGGCCAAAAGCAAGTTCCTAAGGAACTGACAAAGACAAAGAGCGGAAAATCATTTCTAAAAGGGAGAGTTTCGAGCTTATTTTTCTCAAGGAATAAAAAATCTACTAAAGAAAAATCCGGTGCATCACAATCTGGAGAAGAATTTCAGTCTGTCACTGCTGAAGCACCAGGGTCAATTGGACATATTCCTGGAATGGTTAGCAATGATACATCTCAATGTGTTAACACTAATGGCCTTGGAGAGTGTTCTCCTGGTCTGCATCCATCAAGCAAAACTTCTTCTCCAGATTTAACTGACATGAGCAGCATAGCTTCTCGGGAGGTAGGCTTATTATCTTTCATTGTTTGTTCATAATTTCGTCTTATATGCTTGTAGTTGGTGATTACTTGTAACTTTCAGTTGTTAAGCATAGTAAGACAAGTTGGCTCCAATTGTTTTATTTTTATTGTTTGGTCAGCTTTTTATTTTAGCGGTATTGGCAGACATAGAAGTTGTGTGGTATTTTGACCATATAATACCATTGGTTCTTGTGAACAGCAACTTCTGTGCTTCCATCTGTTGCCTCCAACCATATGTTTATGATTTCATTCATACCGGATTGGGACACGCCTATGCATGTCTTTACCTTTTCCTCTTAAGCTGAAGATATGTGAAAGGGTGTGCTTTTCAAAGAAAAAGTAAACACAGAAATTTGGAATATGCTTTTCAATGGTGCAATACGTCTGTTATTGTTAAACTAACAATGTCAGATGTCATTGTTATATATGGAATAAGTTGCGTCAAATTTTATTTGTTGCGATAGTTGGCCTTTACAAGATGAAGCATTTTCATGATGAACCTATTAGGTCATGCTGCTTTGTGTTCAGCACAAAGTTCTTCAAATTGAATCAGCTATGGTTAAAATGAATGCATGCTTTTGGGTTGGCTGTGCACAATGACTTCATAAATGATTTTATCTGTAGTTGAATTTTGAACCCTTGGAATCTTGTGATTTGATTACTTATCAAGAAATGTCTTGTCATTTTGCAGGCGGTGTTGTCTGTATCCAAACCTTTGATGCGTGGGAACGTTAGTGAGAATCAGGACCAGCCAAGTCCAATCTCAGTTTTGGAGCCACCATTTGAAGAGGATGACAATACATTTCCTGAGTCTTCTGGTAATAGCAAGCCAGACCACCGAGGTATATTCCCAAAAAGTTTTACTGAAAGTTTCGTTTGTATCATTCTTGTATATCTTATCCCACTAACTTTTCTTTTGTTATTGGTAACAGGAACAGTGGTGCCTCTTAAGCCTAATTTAATTGACAAATCACCACCTATAGAATCAATTGCCCGGACCTTGTCATGGGATGATTCTTGTGCAGAGACGGCCACTCCCTATCCACTGAATCCGTCATCAGGCTCAGGGGCTGAGGAAGAGCAGGACTGGCTGTTCTTTGTACAAACCCTCTTATCAGCAGCTGGTCTGGATGGTGAGATGCAATCTGAAACATTTTTTGCCAGATGGCATTCGCCTGAAAGCCCATTGGACCCATCATTGAGAGACAAATATGCAAGCCTGAATGAGAAGGAGCCAGTGCACGAGGCAAAGCGAAGACAACGGAGATCAAACCGTAAGCTTGTATTTGACTGTGTGAATACAGCATTGGTTGAAATAACAGGTTATGGATCAGAGTCAGACAGGAGCAGTAGGGCTGTGTCGTGTAGTGGGGCTCAAAACACCCTGGTAGAGAGTGGATCACCCATGCTGGTGGACCATGTGTGGGGTTGGATGAAGGAGTGGTTTAGTGGTGAAGGTGGGGACGGCAACAGCCTGGTGGTAGAGAAGGTGGTGAGAAAGGAGGTTGTAGGGAAAGGGTGGGGTGAGCAAATGAGAATAGAAATAGATAATTTGGGAAAGGAGATTGAGTTGAATTTGTGGGAAGAGCTTGTGGATGAGGCTGTGGTAGATCTGACAGACAGGTAGTGTGTTATGAGGCTTTTCTTTTTGTCTATTTTTTTTGTAACTCTTTGTCTAAATGATGGGTGAATTCATGTATTTTATTTTCAACAATGATGGTCCTACTTCGCCTACTACTCCTACCTGCCATATTTGTTTAAATCAATCAGTATTTATTTAACATTATCATCAAACAGCATTTATCTAACATTATCATAAATTATCACGTTACATATAAATAGTTTAGTCATTGTTATTTTAGCATTGGTTGTAACTGCCCCCTTGATCAGAAATTGAGTGATTATGATTAATTGGTGCTTATGGTCCGTGTTTGTTCCAGTGGAAATGTCAGTTCTTAGTTGTTTATGTATTCCTACTGAAATGGGAGATGATGATGGGCTAATTATGTGTCAAACAATATCTTTTAAAACACAAAGTTCTGGGTTTTACATACTATTGATGAGAATTTTGGCTGTAAAGGGATGAGATGTTCTTATCTTTCTATATTCCTCGGTTCTATTTGATGCATGAATCGTGACTTGACCCCTTACACAACATTTGATAGAAGAGATTGGTTCGGCTTCACTTCAGTAAAAAAAAGAAGCTGCACTAACTTAATTAGGTGAATATACTTTTGTTTAATCTTTTTTTATTGAACCTATTATTTGTTTTCAGATGAAGCACTTTAATAGATATGGGGTCGAGGACAGCACGATTTCAATTTTTTTCAGATTTTTTTTAATTCAATAGGAAAAGAGGCTCCCTTATCTTCTTCCACTGGCTCCCCTCTTTCATAGCTTTCACGAGTTTTGAGGCACAGCTTTTATTATTCTCGTAATGTTATTGCCACTTTGCCAGGCCTCTATACTTAGTTACTGCGCAAGAATCTCACCCAAAATTATCAACACTTTAGCATCAAGGCGATTCAGATTGTAATCTCATTCTTTCTTTTCCCTAATAAAATAGAGTGGGCAGCTCTTTTGAGTAATGGAGTAACCATAATTGTTGATGGGGATAGTAAGACATGGATGGAAACAAAATATCTCACTTTTCGGATATGTGTGCCAATAGATTCCCTCAATTGACCGGCACCGGTCCCGTCCATATTCAGAATATTAGTTGTGATGTTATTGAACCCTAGCGACCGTGACACAACACATTATTTACATTGTAATTTATTATATATTTAGTGGCTTATATAGTGGTATAGTATGACTATCCATATAATCGGAGTGACGTATCTTGAAAATTGTCATGATGTTAAACAATTCCCTCTCTTCACACATGGCCTGCCATTGCTATAAGTAGAACATTTATGTCGTGGACAAGCTCTAAATTTAATAAATAATTCCATTTTGCAGTATTTCCTTAATTCTTTAGTTGTTTGACCCATACCACCTAATAAAAAGCATGATGGAGAGAGGACGTGGGAAATAAATTTAAAGAGCTAGGAGGAGCGTGTTGATAAAAGAAATCATTTTTCTAATCATCTTAACTAGATATGGATTCTCAAGACTTGAAAGAAAAAAAAAAAAACTCATGCCTTAAATGCTCATCAAATTTGCACAAGCTGATTGAATTTAAGTTTTGGATGGAGATGATTAATCCTACTTTATAGTTTATTCTTCTTTGGAAACTGTTTCGCCTTGTTTCCTCGTACAGAAATAATATAATTGTATTTATTAGGCAACTCTCTTCTAATTACAGAGCTCATTACATTACCCGTCTTGTATATATTATCCTTACTACGATTATAATTATATGATATATGTTAAAAATTTTTTATTTTCTCTTAGTTGAACTTCATAAACATAAATCAGATAAAAGTGAAATGAATGAGATCTCGTAACTTGTTCTAAAACGGTAATTTATACATATAATATTTTATACAACATGATATGATAAAATAATTAGGTGAAAATTATTTAATTTAAAAAAATCATCATTCATTTTTTTTATAATATTATATGAAAAATATTATACTTATAATATAGCTCTAAAAGCTTCAAACGAAACAGAATTAAGGCCCATTTTTAAGCGGGTGGTAAGGGTAAAGCAACTACCGCCACAAAAATTGCTATTGTAACTCTTACTCAAGGAGGTCAGGGATCTCGTGACTCATTTTATATATACAATTTTCTCCATAAGCTTATTAAATAATGTGAGTCTGGACTGGAATGCTCAGGTCCTAAAAATGAATGGACACATCCTTTCTTTCATAAATTAAGAAACAGATTCTTATTTTTTTGGTCCTCACTACTTTTGGAAATTTTATGAATTTCACCTTATGCAAATATTGATCTTTCAAAAATGAATATCATTAAATTATGCCCAAGTAAGAAATGTCATAAAACCTGACACAAGATCAATTTATGAAGAATAAATATTTAATTGATAGAACTTGTCTGTAAGTAATAATTTTATGCCCCAATGGCCTAATCGTGAGAAACCATAATTTGGTTCTATTTGTTGGAACAATGGCATACCCAATTTTCGATTCGATAACCCAATGCATAGAAGGAATTCCCTCGAGTTTTAACATCAATTATGGAAATGTTAGTTCCAAGAAGCAGAAAAGATACATTATATCTCACTCCATGGACATCTCAAGTGGATAAAAAAAAGATGGTACTGGTAGTAGGTGTCAGAAACTGAATCAACTCAAAAGGAGCTAGTTAACCTGAAAGCTCATGTGGAATTTATGGCTCTCCACTACAGTTAAGGACAACAATACATCTCGTGCTTGGCGATCTATATTGGTTCTATAAACTATTACTCACTGGATCCGTGAATTACTGAAAGATTAAATCTATATACCACACGTGATGGAGAATGGAGATCTCACTCCACTTAATCACTCATATAAGAACAATATTCGTTTTTGCAATATTGAATTTAACCGACAAAATCTACATAAATAAATATTACACAGAAGATTAAGATTTTACTTGAAGATTTGTTCGCAGAGATTACAGAAAAGTTGCAAATCAATTACCAAGGCATGCACTTCAGAGAAAAAAAAAAAATCCCTAATAACTCGTTTGGAAACACATCAGAACACCGATATTATACAATGGTAGTAGCTTTGCTTGTTTACAGAGTAACTTCACATTTGATCAGGATTTGCTCACTCAGTCAACACATTGAAAGCCTATATACATAACAACTTCTCAAGAAATAGAATACAGAAAAAACAAAAAATTAGGAGCAGGTTTATACTCCAGAACCATTACATGGCTTGCAAGGCATACTGCTCGGCTTTTCTACGCTCTGTGAGATGGAGAACTTTATATGATTCATTACTTGGATTTCATGCTTCCTGATGCGTTATTTACTAAAGAATATTTATCTCCACTGTTCAATCCATACTGCAGAAAAAATATATGGGAATTTTAGTATTTGTACGCAAGGATAAACATATAAAATCATACAAGCAAGAAAGAAAAAAAAAAAAAAAAAAAAGGAGGTCAAACCTAAGTTATGGAATGAAGATTAATTAAACAAAACATAAAGGCAAAACAATCCTCTCCTACAATAAAAATGAAATGAGAGAAGAGTGAAACAATAGTTGCAATAATTGATCACCAATCAGTTGTTTCATGGTCAGAACTGCACACATTGTTCTATTCAGAAGGTACTCATTGACAATTCCAACTAAGATTGTACTGCTGCCACAAAAAAATATCCTGATATATAGCAGATACCAACCATGTCACATAACCAAATGAACCGTGAGTGAGTCTTACTTTAGGAAGTCTCTTCACATGCTAAACTTATTTGTCAAGCTGAATTAGATAGTGCATGCTCCATTTGAAAGTTATACACATGCCAAAGAGAAAAAGGAAAGGGAAAAGAAGAGTTCCTATAACTAATCTATTAGCCTTTTTTTACCTTTTTGTCAGGACCTACTACTTTCACTTTTTACCTCAAAATGTTTAGAGCATATATTTTTTCAGTCAACCTATGAGAGACCAATAATTTTAAACAAGATACCTTTTCTCTTATCCGTGAGCTCCAGATGTCAGAGTGAGTTGAACCAGATGTTTGGTTTGATTGAGAATTCAGGAGCGGTTCCCAAGTTCTACCCCTTGCATTTTCATAATCATCCTCTTCATCAAAATTGGTTCTTTGAGTGGAAACCATGGCTCTAAGAACCATTGCTAGTAGTAGAGCAAGTGCCTAAAATACGACAAGGTATAAAAGGATATATTAGAGAGAACAATTTGTATATTGATGAACAAATATAGGCAGATATAGCAGTTAAATGATACATGATAGCACTGGTTGATGGTTATTCCTTTCATTAGAGAGTAAAAATGTGATCTTGTAATGGAAAATCTTCAAGGATAGACCTCTTCGTCAGAGTTTATAGGAATAACAAAAAAGAAGAACAGCAACAATTAAATTATATGACAAAAATAACAAGTTTTGGGATGATAAAAACCCTGCTAGTCCATATTACTTCAGTTTTTTTCTTAGTCTTGTTACTTCTTATAGGTCCATATAACTATAAACAGATCTTCAAGAGACATGAAGGATATCTTTTGTGTCCTACTGATAATAAGTGGCCAAAATGAACAAGCACTTCCTTGCAAGAGAGGATTTCTTGTTCTAGTGCCAGTTCTCAATACAGGCAATAAATGTTTCTCTATAAACGAAAATGACATTACTCACTTGAAAAGAAAAAAAAAAAAATAGAACCATCATAACCATAATCCAAAAATGAACAGATAAGATATTAATGAGCAACAATCCGCAAAATTGTTTTAGTATTCAAGTCCTTTTTTTCAAAGATCATAAACTACACAATACCTGAATTATGACCACTGTTATGCCAATCCATTTACATATACCAATATTATCTTCAATGAAAGAACGGATGCTATCAAGTTCTCCAGTTGGGTCAGATGGAAGATCCTGTCAAGGAATCATCAAACAATTAAACAGATGAGAAAACAGGATGAAAAATCAGTGAGCCAGGCATATGTTAACCACAATAGTAAAGAGAATCACCTTTTCCCAATGATGATCAATTGCAATAAATGCCACCAGAGCTGCTTCTAGTAGAATGAACATGGTTTTGAGTACAGCATACTGAGATTTCAAGAGGTTAAGGGAAATTCCAAACAGACCAGGATCAAATGGAGATGATAGATTCTAACCTTAGTTTGCTTTTTAGCAAGACAGATTATAATTTTTAATTTCAATTTGCCTGATCAAGTACAAAGCTACTAGTAAGAAAACTCGTAACTGTCAGATATCCCAAATCTCTAAACTATTCCACATGAACTCCAGAAGGAAAAGAAAATAAGGTTTTAAATCTTTATTTTTATTGTTTGGTTCTCATTAACGTAACTTGCTCACCAAAGCAATGGCTTGTGTTTGTCAACAAACTGCTAGTGTCTATTATTATTACGGGATTCTCATACATAAAGTTTCAATTCTCTATCTCATCTTCTTTACTACCACAGTAAAATATATAAACTTACATTTCCATTTTTTTTTTAAAATAAAAAAAAATAAAAAAATAAAAACACTCACAACATTTCCAAATTTTAAACAAAACCCAACCCGTTCTATAAGTTCACATCAAAGTTAATCTGAACAATCGCAGACTGATTTGTAAACCAGCTTAAGCTGAAATTAATATAGACAGCGCTACATTCAGGAAGGATACAAAACAAAGGCAACAGCCACTTATTGCTTCAGCTGCAATGCAACCAATCAAAGTAATGCAACACAACAAAATGCCCACTCCCATAAAAGAGTATATGAACCTGCCAAAAGAAACAAGCACCATGTCACAAAGACTCTAAATTCCAATAAGAAAGTTGAAATGCAACAGATGTATTCGAGCAAAGCTGCAGCATAATCTACAAGTCATAAGGTCCCTTGATCCTGCAACTCTAATGTTTTATTATTATTATAATAATAAAAACAAGGCAAAAAACTCCATCATCCACAAAATTATAATTAAATTGTTTGCTTAAAACCATTAGTGTTTGCTTAAACAATTTATGGGCCTGAATAGAACAAATTACAGAACTCCTTTAAAAAAAATTAAAGACAATATTCCACAATAATTAGTACTACAGCATCCGATCAGATTGTGACATAAAGTTACCATAAAAGTCATGATCACAGCATTAAATACAACAGAATTAAACCCAATTTAATTAAAACAAACCCACACTCAAAACTTAAAAGAGTACCAGGGAGCGGGCAGCTTGATTGCATTCAAACCAAACCCTAACTCGTCATCAAACCCGGAAACCATGAGATTGAAAGGAGTGGTGACCTGATGATGATCATCTAGAAAAATATAAAGAGAAGAAGAAATATCTGGAGAAGGAGCTGAAGGAGCAGGAGGATAAATGGGGACATGATGATTCCATTGATCAAGCATCCATAAAGAGTATATTATTATCGATACTCCTATGAATGCTTGAAGGTAATTTAGCAATTTCAGAATGAAAGCAAATGAAATATGACAACAATTTCGTTGCATTTCTGCGTTATTTTTTCAATCGAAACCCTAACCCTAAGCTTTCTCGATTTCTTTGTGAAAGTGGATCGAAAATTAAAATGATGTCGCTCTTTTCAGGATTTGGCTTTATCTGTTGGGTGATTCCATTTTTTTTTTTTTTTTTACTAAATCTTTTTTTATTTATACCTTTTGCGTGCGAGGAAAAAACTGTTTTTTTGAAAACGGATAATTTTTGTTGGAAGTTTATCCTATCGGTAATGCCACACTAACACTATTTTTTTACACCATTTTATAAACATCATGATGTAGCATATGCTACAACCATACAAATTCTATTATAATATTAAAAATTTAAAATAATTAAAAATTTGTGTGGTTGTGACATATGTCACATCATAATGTAATGAAAATTATGTAAAAGAGTGATGTAAGTGTAGCATTACTCTTATCCTATTCGTTTTGGATAATGTTATGGGTACTAATGGATTGTGCAAACTGATATACTAACTTAATGTATAATATGGATGTTATATACATAATATAAATATTATATATGATTTTAATAAAAATTAGTATATTGATTAGTAAAATCCGTTAGTACGTACAATATTATTCTTCGTTTTTATTGTTTACTGCCGGACCACTCGGATACTCTTTTGGATGGAGGAGGCCGATTCTCATATACCCACCTTAACTATCGTAAAACAACAATGCATACCCCAAATTCCTAAAACCATCAACGGTCCCCCAGTTTTCAATTTCGAATGTTAAATTTAAAAGTCAAAGGGCATTTTGGTCTTTTAACCCTCACAAATAAATTAAACCTTAAAAAATCTTTTTATCCCGTATATATAAGCTTTAATAAGTAACCAAACCCTAATCCTATATTCGTTTTTGGTAAGAAAAAACAACCAAAAAAATTTCCAAACCACACTAATCAACAGTCAACGAGCCTAAGCCATGTGGCTTCGCTACTGCAAAGCTAAGCCTAGATTTGGCCAGAGCTTCGCATCTGCGACAATGCAAGCAAGATCGGATTTTGGCTGTAACCACTTGGTTTTGCCAATGCAAGTTCAAGCCTAAGCCGTGCAACTTCTCTCTTCACACCGTTGGCCTTTGCCAACACTCTTATGTTCGATTTTGTTGAAATTTTTGTTATTTTTGTACTTGTTTTTGTTGTTTTTATCGTGAATTCTAAGATTATTTGTGAACATCTTATTACCCTTCTTAGTATGATAAAAGCATTTCTGTTGAATAGAAAGACATAACTGAATTTTTGTAAGATGCTGAGTTGATGAAGTTGTAAAGAAGGTTTTGTTCAATTTTTAGTCGGTTTATGGTTTAATAGGGTTGTATCAGTCATTTAACATATTTTCACAATATTTTATCTCAGAAACAAAATAATTTAGGGGCAATTTCATCTTTCCATTGTCTTTAGTTATGTCTGGCACCAAATTCATTAACAAAACACCAACGGTGGGTGGAAGGACGTTGGTGGCTTTTAGAACTTGAGGTATGAATTTAGTATCACGATGGTTAAGAGTGGGTATATGTAAATCGGCCTTGGTTTGTTGAAGTCAAGAGCGTGTGTGGGAGCCAGACAAAATTTACGTAGCAACAACAATTCTTGACTTTTCAAACAAGTATTTATTAGCTAGAATGACAAAATTTGAATGAGATATGAATGAATAAAAAGATTTTGTCCTCTTTATTAACTTGGCTTTCAATCTAGATAATCATCTTATTAACAAAACAAGAGCCCATTGAATTGATACAACTTTTAAAAAAAGAATATACAAAATGGATATCCCCTGTGCGTTTCATGATTTCATGGATCCTAAACAGTTTTAGTTGTAGTGGGTTAAGCTATCGAATAAAAACAAATGAAACTATTTGTGTAATATCTTTTTGAACTTTCAAGAAACGTACCTCCTTTCTGCTTTGAATCATTGAAGATGCAATTCATAATATAGTTTTTAAAATTTGTGACATTGATACAACTGCTTCACTGAACAAGAAATATATGAGAATTGCTAGTATTGAACTCGGCTCAACTGTGCCAGACTTGTGTTTTCGCTGTTGGCCCAGAACGAGCATGCGAGCTTAGGTCTGGCCCAACAATCTTCAAACAGCCCACTAACATTCTTGTTGAATAGCAGGGGAGTTTTGAATGAGAGAAGTAGTCTGCTATGAATTGCTTTTCAGCCACATGCGATGTTTAGTTTTAAGCAATTCATAGTTAGGTATGGCCTCTATTATGAACCCATATGCCAATATTGATTTTTTACCAACTCCATAGAACTGGTGTAATGCTCTATTGATTATAGTAATAAACTCATTATCAGTGAATCCTGGTGATTATATCAATGTTGACCTCATTACTAGTGTAATTAAGTGTGCTAATTAATACATATCTTAATCTGTCATTAAGCAAACAGCCCACCGGCCCCAGCCTAATATCAAAAGAGTAAAGGCCATAAATTGGCAGCATTGAAGGTCAAAGTGAATTAAAAAAAGATTTTTCCCAATGTGAATTAACCTCGTATCAACAAATTAACTTGAATATCTTGTCGCTGGTTAAAGCTTGCACCTCAAATCATGAAAGAGTTTTTATCAAGATTGCAAGCTTAATTACTTGGGTAAACTGGCCAGACAAAGAGAAATTAAAAGCTATTTCGGAAAATGTATGCGCAAAACTGATTGTGCATAAATCCTTTTAGTGCGCATAAACTCTGAGACAAAATTTTCTCTCGAAAAGGAAAACGTGAGCTGTAATCTATATTTGATATTTAATTGACTTCACAATAAATCCTTGAAATGATACTTCTTCACACCAAATATTAATCTTTCTTTGAATCATACGTCTCATCATGCATGCAAAGTTTCGACTGTAGGAACATTGTGTTTGTGTATATGCCAACAACTTCCAGTAACACTTCTCCAGGTAATTTATTATAATTAAATGTTTACATTAGAATTAGGTAAGCTACCCTTATAAAACCATATCAACTCTGACATTCAGAGTTACAATCTCAAGTTTTGTGATAAAAGAGAGATAGAAAGTGAGTGATTACTGCCCTTTCTTACACCATTTCAAGGGTTTTCCTCATTAACCTAATGATCACTGTTTTCGTCCTAGTAATTGTCATGGTGATAGTTGCCCCTCAAGCTGAGGCAGCTCGTGCTTTCTTTGTGTTTGGTGACTCGCTCGTTGACAGTGGCAATAATAACAACTTAGCCACCACTGCTCGTGCTGATTATCCACCTTATGGCATTGATTTTCCAACCCACACACCAACTGGCCGTTTCTCTAATGGCCTAAACCTCCCTGATGTTATCAGTGAGTTCATGTTTACCTCTATTTTTTTCTGTTACGATTAATGCGTTCCTACATTAACACATACAGTGTGCATACTAAGGTGAGTCGATCGGAATTGCAGCACCACTGCCATACTTGAGCCCTGAGCTCACTGGCCAAAAACTACTAACAGGTGCCAACTTTGCTTCAGCTGGAGTTGGAATTCTCAACGACACTGGACTTCAGTTTGTAAGCCACCCAACTTAAATTCAATTTGCCAAGATATATATCTCTGATTAACAATACGATTTTGAATCCATTTTCACTTTAAGGCTATAGGCTAGAAATGAACAAAATATTGTTCTTTGAATGACAATAATTAATGCAAACGAAAGTTTCTCTGTGTGGTACTGATGAGTGAAATATTAAAAATTCATTTTGCAGCTCAACATATTAAGAATCCATAGACAGTTAGAATTGTTTGGAGAGTACCAAGAAAGGCTAAGTGGGATAATTGGACAAGGACCGGCACAGGAGCTAGTGAGCGAAGCACTGGTTCTCACGACGCTGGGTGGCAATGACTTTGTTAATAACTATTTTTTGACACCTTTCGCTCCTAGAAGACGCCAATACACTCTCCCACAGTACTGCAGTTATCTCATCTACGAGTACAGGAAGTTCCTTTTGGTATATATAATTATATATATTCATCGTGAAATTTTTACATATGTAACATTGATGTGTAATGTATTTTTTAATTTTTTTTATATTTGATATTGCAGAGGCTGTATGGTTTAGGAGCACGCAGGGTGATCGTGACAGGGATTGGACAATTGGGTTGCGTTCCTGCTGAGCTGGCCTTGGCGGGTAGCGTGAAAGGAGAATGTGCGGGGGAGCCCCAACAAGCAAAGGCAATTTACAATCCTCTGCTTGTCCAAATGCTTCAAGAACTCAACACAAACGTCCTGGGCTCCAATATTTTCATTGCTTCTAATGCATTTGATATGAACATGGACATCATCAACGACCCAAAAAGATTTGGTTTGTTCCATCTAAGATCACTATTCACTAACATTATATATATATATATCAAATGAATATATATACTTTTAGCTATGAAAATGATGTGTGTGCATTTGTCTGTGATTGGTGATGCAGGTTTTAAGACTTCAAAGGTAGCATGCTGTGGGCAAGGACCTTACAATGGACTTGGAACGTGCAATTCTTTCTCTTTTCTTTGCGCAAACAGGAATACCCATGTATTTTGGGACGCTTTTCATCCAAGTGAACGTGCAGTCAGGCTCATTGTTAAACAGATGAAGACTGGCTCTACCAAATACATGATCCCAATGAACCTAAGCACCATTATGGCCCTGGATTCCACCTAATTGATAAATAATTAATGTTTACGCCTTTCAAACTACACGTACCCTCTATTTTCTTAAATATATATAATTAGTGTTTTGTCTTGTTGGTGCAATTTTGAAGTGTTAGAGAAGTATCCTGGGTATGAAATTGTGAGATTCTATACTGATTGGTATGTTGCTGTACTGAACTTTAGTTCTGTATTTAGTTTATCTCATTTCATCTTCCTATGTATTTTCGGTACTGAGTGACAATTCTATGGTGAATCATCCTACTTTCAAATATCCTTCAAAATTTTCCTCTGCTGTTCAATATTGCAATTTAAGTGAAAAGGAGAAAAGATGTAATATTATTATTATTATTATTGGGGTTATAATAATCAGTATAACATTTCAAATACTATTTCAATTTTAATACAATTAAATTGTAATATAAGAAAAATTAGATTTATTTATNTTCTTTTCATACAACTTCGTACAATT